GCAATAAAATCCCGAAAGCGGCTGGATAGGGGGGGGGGGGGGGGGGGAGAGGGTGATGGTGAAGAGGGGTGGTTAAAAAAGAAAACAGGGATGTGACAAATAAAAGCAAATCTTTTAAGACGGACTGTGGAGCGGAAATGGCATGAAAGACTGCTGTCATAATAAGGCAATGGTGCCTTTATTCTGATAAAACTATGGCAATAAGCCTTCTGTCTCACGTGTATGTGTGTAAGGGGGTATAGAGGGGGTGGACATGATCATATCAACACCTTTCGCTACAATAAACCTAAATCTGATGCAGCAAACCTGTGGAAAACACCACCGTCGCGCATTCTTTAAAGCCCAGTGGGTGGATATTTTATAGGGTGAATCGATTATTCTAAGGTGTTCCCGGTATTTGGTCCACCCGCTTTTAGTGCACATTTCAAACGATAACCCGTTTCTAAACTTTCTATCATATGTTGGTGCATCCAAAAACGCCCCCCATCCCCACCACTGGATCCCTAACAGCCTTTTTGTCCGTTCCAAAACCCCCATAGATATGACAGGCCCGGACGGGAAGCGGGCGCGCACGGCGTACACCCGCTACCAGACGCTCGAGCTGGAGAAGGAGTTCCACTTCAACCGGTACCTCACAAGGCGGCGGCGCATCGAGATCGCCCACGCGCTCTGCCTCACGGAGCGCCAGATCAAGATCTGGTTCCAGAACCGGCGGATGAAGTGGAAGAAGGACAACAAGCTGAAGAGCATGAGCCTGGCCACCGCCGGCAGCGCCTTCCAACCCTAAGAAATGAAATTTCAAAAAAATGAAAAAGAAATCCATGCGTCCATCTCTTTGGAGAGGGTTTAACTACCATGTACAGGCTTCTTCCCAGGAGGGAAAATACAGACAAAACAGAAAGATAGAACATGGAGCAAAAGAAGACGGCGATGAAGAAACATATGTACAAATATAGATCTAGATTAAAAAAAGAAACACTTCCTTTCTATCAACGGAGTACTGTACAGCAACGCAGCACTTTTTATTTGTTCGGCATGTTGGTGTTTTAGGGCAACGTAAATAAAAACTGTGGTACTTGCTCTTGTAAAAAAAAAATCTAAAAAAAACCCCGTAGTGTTCCTGTATGTTGTTTTAAAAAATATATATGTCCGGAGCAGAGGAGTCGAGATAAGGGAAGGATGAATAATGCTACCTAACTATATACGTTTCTACTTACGTCCTACCTTGCAACATTGCTACCTGTTGTTTGATGTCTGAATATCGTTTTATGTGCCACGTGCGATGTTTTATATTTGACAAAGTGCTTTCTTGATGTTAACATGTGAGCTCGTATTGTAAGTTCAGCCAGTGTGTAGCCTTCACCCTTCCTCTATATGTCTGTCTCTCTGTTCCTCGCCATTCAAATCTGCTCCTGTTTCTTATTTGGGAAGCAGGTGTGTGTGTGTGTGTGTGTGTGTGTGTGTGTGTGTGTGTGTGTGTGTGTGTGTATGTGTAAACAAACAGCCCTGCTAACATCTCTGTATCATGTTGTGTAAAGCTATATTATTCAAAAAATAGTGTAAATGTATATTATTGTTATTATTGTTGTAATTATTGGATACATGTTTCAGAAAGGATGTACATAGATATATATTGTCATTTTCTAAAATGTGACCAATTGGCTGTTCCAGTTGCAATGTGTGTGAGTGAGTGAGTGTGTGTGCGTGCGTGCATGTGAGGGAAATGGCTACTGTCCTGTGAGGCATGTGAGCTTTCTGCCAATGAGCTTTTTGTATTTTGTTTGTAACTTGGAGTAAAAACAACAACAACAATAAAGTTGCCCATACTCGTCAATACCAGACGGACTCGATCAGCTGCTCGTCTGTAGCCAAACTGCACGCACAAATGGCTTCGTTTTTACACGAGCCAAAAGGGTTTAGGTTTAAGTATTTGGGTTCAGCTGGAGCAATGTGCTCGTCCCAAAAAAATTCATTTAGAAAAATCAATCAGGAGTATTTGTGCTAGTTTCCGTTATGTATTTATTGTGAATAATATATTTTATTAGTAAATCTGTGCCCGCTGCCAAACTCTCAGGTCGTTTTATTGCGTCTCGCTGAGAAATAGCCCAGGAAAGTGTGGATTTAGCCCTGAATGGGTCTGGACAAACCAAACCGAGTCCTATTCTTCTTCTGTACATCTAACATCTCATGCGCATTTCTGAGCCTGGTCTTGTGCAAAAGCTCAACTCTCAGTTTTCAATTTTACCAAATTATTCAAGCTAGAGGAGAAACCAAACTGCGTCGTGCGTAAAGACGCACCGCGCCAAACATTCGTCCGGAGGCCCCGCAAGCCTGTTTTTTCCAGGCCTGGTTTTAACCCTGAACGCCACATTTCCAAGGCAACAACCTCCTAGACATCAGCAGCATCACAGCGTCCTGCTCGACAATCACTAAACAAGCTGCATAAAATACACACGCATACACACAGAAAACACACAAGCCAATCTCCATCCCTGCTGAACAAGTCTGACAAGACAACAAACTGCCCGCGGTAGACAAATTGGTCACTTTTCTCGAAACAGCCTCCCTTTCCGTCCTATAACGGAGGTCACTCCCGGCCAAATTAGGTTACCGTCTCCGCCTTCCAACTGTAAACAACCAACTGAACTTTTAAACTCACCGACTGATGCCGCTTCAGCTTCCATGCGCATACACGGCTATTTCTGAGCTGATGGAGGGGAGGTGGCGTGGGGGGTACGAGATCCTGTCCTGTTCCTAGCCTCATCTGGACACAACCATCTCCTACCTCTTCTGTGTGTGTGTGTGTGTGTGTGTGTGTGTGTGTGTGTGTGTGTGTGTCTGTGTGTCTGTGTATGTGTGTTGAGATGTTTTTTTTTAAAGCTAACCTCTTTCTGCTTTGGGCCAAACTATAAAAAAGGACGGTAGCTCTGACATTTACATGTCAAACGGATGAGGGTTTTTATCTCCAAGTTGGATCGTAAAGATCAGGCCCGGCCTCAGACTGATACCTCTCACTGGCTCTCCCCTGGTCACGTGGGGTCCATAAAGTTAGTTTTATGGTTTTGGGGAGTTGACAATGTACTATATATTTCACATTCTAGAAAGCAAGTGACGGTTTAACGGCTTCGCGGGGATCCTAAAGGGGTCAGTAAAGTAGAGAGGGAGCGGGGGGGAGGGTTGTGTGTGTGAGAGGGAGAGAGAGAGGGAGAGAGAGCGGGCCACTATACCGGCCGCTGCTCCTGCTCCGGTTCACACGCCGAGCCCGACGAGCTCCGCTCGGCGCCCCACGTTCTGGAACGCTGTGAAAACCCCGGTGGAGAGAAAGAGCAGGGAAGCACAGTAAGTAGCGTTTGGCTGTCTGTAAGTGGGGGAGTGGGGAGGGGCGGGAGGTTGAAGAGGGGGAGAGAGAGAGAGAGAGAGAGCGAGAGAGCTGTGTAATTACCATGTCACTCACTCACTCTGGATTGCCGCGGTGTTGACGCGCTCGCTGAGTGCAACGGAGCTCCGGTGCGTTGTTTGTGTCTGGTCCGCGGATCGGACGGTCGGTCCGCGTCAGAGATAGTAAAATGCTGCCTGTGTGTGTGCGCGCGCGTGCATTTGGGGTGCACTTTTGTCTGTTGCCTCCAAATCACGCTTGGGTGCGTTTTGACGTGCGTAATGGTGGCGCACAGGAGACTGTGCGGTGCGGAGACTTTTACAAACATAAAATAAAAAGGGAAACAAGTTGGATCTGTTAGAATAACGTTAATACTGCTTACTAGCATCTTTCACCACGAGGCTATTCCCTCTTACATTCTAAAAATGGTTTGTTCAAGTGCTTTAACAATGACATTCTGACGAGCCGATCCAGAACGGCAGATGTTGTTGTCTACGTGATTTTTTAACGTCCGAATGATGGTTGTGTGTTCTCTCTCGCTCTCTTGCTGGATCATATGGACATATTGCAGTCATTTTGTGAAGTGGCTTTTATTGCGCCATTATTATTATTTTTTGTGGAGAGTAAGCGTTTCATATCACAGTACGTTTGTTTTGTCACTTTTTACGCACGGCCTTTGTGTGCGTAAAACTGGTTCCAATAAGGGATTTAGAGTTGGGAAAAATGCCCCTGTGTGTGCTAACATTAACCAAGAAGTGTATGGAAAAGGACACACACACACACACACACACACACACACACACACACACACACACACACACACACACACACACACACACACACATACACACACACACACACACATACACACACACACACACACACACACACACACACACACACACACACACACACACACACACACACACACACACACACACACACACACACACACACACACACACACACACACACACACACACACACACACACACACACACACACACACACACACACA